TTTCACAAAAGCCAAAAAGTGGAGAAAGGCAGGTCCGTGTTGACACTGTGGCCCCTAGATCCAGCCACACCTGAAGCCAAGTACCCTGGGTCTCCTCAGCTGCATTTAGCTAATCAATGTTCCTTTTGAATAATCCATCTTGACTGTGTTTCTGTCACCTGCGACTAAAACAGTTCTGACTAAACAAGATCTCACAGCCAGTAAGTGGCAGGATTTGGATGAAAGCCCAGGATCTTAACCACTCTATTAAACTGGCATCATCTCCTGCTCCAATCTTCATGCCAACTCCTAGCAGCAGCCCACGCCATCAACAACCCCAACAGCTGCCATTTGCTCCAGGCTTGACAGCCCAGAAACTGCTCTCACACACATTGTCACTTTTTCAAAAAAAGAAATTGAGATATATTTCACATACCATAAAATTTGCCCTTTTAAAGTATACAACTCAATGGTTTTCAGTATATCCACAGGGGTGTGCAACCATGACCACTATCTAATTCCAGGACATTTTCATTACCCAACAAGATACCCAGCACCCATCAGCAGTCTCTCCTTCTTGCCCCCTCCTCAGCCCCTGGCAACCACTCATCCGCTTCCTGTCTCTAGGGGTTTGCCTCTTCTTGCCACATATCATCACTTTTAACTCCATAGGAACCTTGTAAAGTAGCCACTAGAGAGAGGAGCACTGGACAGCAGAGTGGCTAACACTGTGGACTCTAGTGTCACCTGCCCAGCTTCAAATCCTTGTTCTGACACTCACTAGCTGTGTGACCTTGGGCAAATGACTTAACCTCTCTGAGCCTGGGTTTCTTCATCTGTATAATCCGATAAGCTTGAAATGAGGATTAAATAAGTCATTACATCTAGACGTTTCACAGCCAGTGCTCCAGGAAGGCCAACTGTTTCTATTATCATCACCCCCATGTTACTGATGAGGACAACTGGCACAGAGGGGTTAAGGGGTGTGCCCAAGGCCACCCATCACAGGTGGCAGGGCCCCAAGTCTCCTGAGTGTGCGGCTTTTTCCATTACGCCACACTGGCCTAGCTGTTCCTCCATGAGAGCTCAGCCTCCCCACACCCTGTGAGCCAAGTTCCTTGTGAAAACACCCGGGCTACCTGCCAGGCAGGAGGGAGGGAGTGGGTCATGAAATCACCTCACTTTAGGGTGTCGCAGGCGGTGGGCTGGTCTCCTCGCCTGGCCCTGGGACAGCTGGCTGGCCGGTGGGGTCTCGCCCTGCCCTCTTCCAGCCCCTCACTGGGGCACAGGGGCGGCCACTTCCAGGAGAGTGGGACCCTGGAATCCCCGACTCCCCACGCCAGCCGCCCGCCTGCGGCTCTTTAGAGCAGCCTGGAACTCTGTCTTCAGACGACCATGTTACAGGAGGGGAGCCTCAGGAGCTATTTACGTCCTAGCAAACCCCCAATTATTGCCAATCGTACTCAGTGGGCAAGAAAACCTCACTTTAGGCTCTGGTAGAAATAAGAAAGTGGAGTCAGAGGAGGAGAGTGGAGGAAATCAGGCCGTGGGCCAGGGAGCCCCGTGACCCAACCTTGGCTCAAGTGCCCCCCAACGATGTCACCTCGGAGAGCCCCATCTGAGCAGAGGGACAGCAGATGACAGCTAGTGTGCTGGCTGAGCGAGGCACAACTCATTTAACTGTCACGACAGACCCAGGAGGAAAGTGCTTCCGTTCTTAATAGGCAGATGGGGAAACTGAGGCTCAGAAACACACAGAGGGGACATAGAGCCGAGACCTGAAAAGGCAAAGCTGAGATTTGAGCCCAGGTCCGTCTAAGCCCAGAAGTCAAGGTCTGAAGCCTGGGCTAGGCTGCAACAGAGAGCTCGGCGACACTCACACTCCTGCCACACAGCCTGGGCCACGCACTACAAAATGGCCGCAACTAGCACCTGCATCCGCGCTTCCAGGACCCCCTCCCCACTCCCTTCCTGTAGAACCCACCCCTCCAGATGCTGTTGTCCTCACGACCCCCGATCCCCAGTCCTCTGGCCACAGCCGACAGGCTCGGGGTGGACTCCGACCAGGACCGACCACTAGGTTCTCTCTCCTCGAGCCTGGAATCGGTACCCAGAAATGCCAGTGCATGGACGACAGCAAAGGGCACTTCAACTTGGGGACCAAAAGTGCTGTTTGGGGATCCCGTGGGGGTGGGGGCCAATGGGCAAGTGGTGGAGGCTGGTCCAGAGAAGCTGGCAGGAAAAGGAAGCAGGCTCGATGGGAGATGTGACGGCCACAACGATGCACGGCCTGGAGCCGCTGGGCCTCTGGGGGGCCACAGTGTTGTCGGTTCTGGGCCCCGCGAGGCTGGCTGCTTATCCCACTCTGGGTTCCACAGGGCACACCTGCTGCCTCCCATCCATCCGCCCCACTCCTCTCTAAGCTCCCGAGCGGGCGTGTGCTCCATGGTGTCAATAACCCCTAGGAGGGCAATCACGCCTGCCACTGCTCCCCCCACTTCCTTCCTGGGGGACGTCAGGCAGGCAAGAGGCCTCTGAAGGCAACACACAGGTGGCCTCCCTGCACAGACCCTCAGCGACGCAGTCCGGCCAGCAGATCATGAAACGTCCACCACATCCCTCTCGGACCTGAAGACCTGCTGTGATGGGTCTGCTCGGATCGCCCGGGCATCTGGGGAAGAGGCCCAGGGACCTCGGTCATCCTCGCACAGGACTGTGCCTCCCGCCACGGCGTTTAAAGTGCTGGCTGTTACCTCTGCCACCTTCCCTTCCTTTCCCGCAGGGGTCAGCCCTTTCCCAGCCCCCGTGCCTGCTCCTGCCAAGCCCACTGCGGATGGCGTCTGAGCATCGTTAACACAGAGCCTCCTGTGTGTTCACATCCAGCACCCGTCTGCTGCGGACCAGAAGAACACCACAATCTGCACACGATGCTGTCTGAGTCTGCTGCAGAGCGAACACAAAACATCCCTGATGAGGTCCTCACATGTTAAACAGGTGACTGGTGTCTCAACCGCTTTCTCTGATGCAGACTCGGCAGGCCGTTAAGCTGGCGGCTGAGACGGGTTAGTGACTGTCTTAGTGGTATTAGGGAAGTCGGGTAGCAGGGCACTGTCATCTCCCCTCCACCTTTGAAATAATGGAACACAGGCTCTGAAAATCCCCTGTTCCACATTTTCAGGAACAGACTAGGCCCGTACAAGCGAGGATGCCTGTGGTGAACATCACTCAACTCTCAGGGAGAACATGTGAGGCGAAGAGGCGGTGTGGGAGGGCAGGGCTGTCTTCTCCCATCCAGCAACATCTACTTTCATCCCATCACAGCCATTCCCTCCACCCCTGACTCCAGGGGCAGAGCGGGGACCCAGATAAGCCCACTGGCCAACACATTCCTCAACCATATTGACTGGCTTAGAGATAAGCCTAGGAAACACAACACCCTCTTTGTTGGGACTTCTGGGAAATGACCTTTCACTCTTTCCTGCTGAGTCTGAGCCCAGAGTATTTTGTAACCAAGCGGGACCTGAGGATAAAGCCAAACACCATGGAAAGAGGAATGCAGAACGAGAGGAAGGAACTGGGTGAGAGGACACTGGTGGGAAAACCCTCTGGATCAAGCTGTGCCTGAAGCCCACAAGTTTTCTTCTCCGGGATATTCAGTTACACCAGCCAAAAAAATCCCCCTGTTTACTTAAGCCAGTTTGAGCTGGGTTTCTATCAACTGAAGCAGCTGAAGCATCCTAACGGGTACAAGGAGGAAAGGAAGACAGCCATCTCAGGATGAAGCCCTGTGTTGGCCTGCAATGTGACGTGAGCCCCTCACCATGCGCAGGGAGGACTCACGGGTTCGGGAAGCTGGGCGAGTTCCCATCTCCCGTGGCCCATGTTTTCTAAAGACCTCTGCCAGGCCACACCAGGCACTGTGGCTTCTCACGCAGACACACTTGCTTTGAGTTGCTGGCCCTTGGTCAGTCAGGAGAAAGCTACCGCCCCAGGGTTTAGACTTCTTTTACTCTAGTGGGGACGGGCTTACATGGGGCTGTCTGCATTTGGCCTGGCTCCCTGGGAGACTGGCAGCGCTCAGGGTGGTTGTCAGTTCGTTCATTCATTCATTCACCAAACCCTGACTGGACACACACTGTGCCCTTGAATAAAACATTAAGGAGAGAGAGGATGATGGAGACGTGGGTCCTTCCCAGAGAGCCTCGGTGTAGAGGGGGAGAGAGACCAGCAGACAACTTTCATATCGAGTCAGGACAGGGACACACGAGCTGTGGGGTCCTGGAGAGAAGGCCTCGCTGGATCAAAGTCAGACCCAGAGGATGAGAGTCTGAGGGGCAGCAGGAAGCACCTGTGCCAACGGGCGGGTTAGGAGGGCACATGGGCGTGTTCCAGGCAAGGAAGGGCAGGGCCAAAGTCCTCTGGGAGAGGGCGGGCCTGGTGCCCTCCGAGCAGGGCAGGCACTCCAGAGTGTGGAGGCTGCCGGGGGAGGAGGTCGAGGCGAGCGGGAGACATGGGGCCGAAGGCAGCGCCGAACGGCCCGAGAATCCTCAACACGCTCGACAAACGCAGCTCCCTGCAAACACGATCGTGGCTCACGACACGAGCTCGAGATCCACCTCCAAGGCCACAGAGAAACACTTCCAGAAACCCTCCATTCCGGAGCAGTCAGCAAGCAGCCCTTCCTTCACTGGGGAAACACTGAATGCCAAGGCATAGAGCGACAAAGCACATTCCTTATGCCCCAAAGTGATGGACATCTTATTTTTTCAAATATGGAAGGCTCCACAAATTTGCGTGTCACCTTGCGCGGGGGGGGGCCCTGCTAATCTTCCGCACATCATTTTAGTCTTGGTATCAGTGCTGCTGAAGCGCACGTGGAGGTCATTTGTAAGTCTAGAGAATAAAATAGAATGCTGCACATCCACTGTGGGGGAGGGTCTGGGCTCTGACGTCAAAATGGAAAGCAAGGCCTAACAAACTCTTTCCCACCCTGCAGTTCCCTGCAGACCCCAAATCCTTACCTGGAGGTCGAAGAACTTGCTGTAGCGCCGGTAAATGGCCTCGGTGGAGCCGCTGGACCACGTGACCCGGATGATGTAGACCTGTGGAGAGGGACAGAGGAGACGGGCTTTAACACAAGGGGGCCTTTCCATCTCCAGGATGTGGCAGCACAGCACCAGGTTCAGAGTCAGACAGACCTGGGTTTGAATCTCAGCTCTGCCACCAACCAGCTGTGTGACTTTGGACAGGTTACCTGCTCTCTCTGAGCCTCAGCTTCCTCCATAATAAAATTGGGTAATAACCCCCATCTCTGAGAGTTGTGCAAAGCATTAAACGAAATCAAGTACAAGGAAGTGTCAGCCCCCTGCTCATCTCAGCAGGTGCTGTTGTCTCCAGCAGTGGAAGGATTTCTTGTTCCCCACTCAATTCAGAGAGTCACCAGGCTGGCTATTTTGCTGGTCATTCTTAAAATTTTGACTTTTGCCAGAAGTCACGGGGACCTGCAGCTCTGAGTCCTCTCATATTTTCATAAGCTAAGCCATGACACCATTTCCTGTAGTCAGGCCCAGGCCAAGTCATTTTCTCCCTCTGAGTGCCAATTTCTCCATCGTAAACTGGGCAGCAGCGTTCGTTTCCTCTGCCTCCCAGGGCAGCGTGAGGATCTGATGAGAATGAGGATGGGGAAACACTTTACAAACCACAGGGCCATGTTTCCAACCTTCGTCACAAGTCACGGCACACACAGAAAATAAAACACTGATGATGAATTCGGGCAAACTGAGGCGGCAGCAGGAAGTCAGAGAACCTGGCTGGGGACTCCGGTGGCCCTGGACACCACGTGGACACTCAAAGGCTAAGTGATCAGCGCCCCATAACCACGCCCGGCTGGCACAAATGATCTGTTGTTATACGATGGTTTGACAATTAAAAGATATATATGTGAAAGCTCTTTGGGAACAGAGAAATGCTGCACAGACACGAGGGGCTCAGTGTTGTTAGAGGCCACGAGGGGACACGGGTAGGGTCCCTGCCCTCCAAGGGCCGAGGGTTGGCTGGAGAGACAACACACACACAAATGAAGACAACACGTGGGCAGTGGACATCGGTTATCTTTTGCCCAGTACTGATTACCCTTCTTTTCAACCAAAGCGCCTCGACTTTTCTCCTGGGAACCTCCTTCCCCACCTCATAAAGCCCCTTAGATACAGGGGGCGGGTACCGTTCATCCTCCACGCTGACTGGCTGAGGAGTGAGCAGGTGACTTGCGCCAGGCCAATCAGAGCCAGCAGGAGGCAGCCCTGGGACTTCTGCCCCACCCTTGAGAAAGAGAAGCTCTCTTTCCGTGAGGTGGCCAGCTGTCAGGACGGGGACGCGGAGCTGCGGGGCACCTCATCCTCTCTCGGGAGGGCCCGCCTGAGAAGGAGGCCCCATCAGTAGATTCCTGACGACACAGTCTGACCCTCAGGTCCAGCTCTGCTTGACGCTCAGCCTACCCCAGATCCGGCCAGTTTCCTGCGCCAATCAGTCTTGGGTCACACCCACACTCAAAGTATTTTTGAAGCCAATTTAAGTGGGGTTTCTGACACATGTAATTTAGTCCTTACTGGCACAGGAAGGGGGCCTGGACCTTGGAGGCATCTGGTGAACCCTGAAGGACACGTAGATTTAGAGAGCAGGAGAGGAAGGGAGAGACCGTGGGTGGTGGGGGACGGAGCAAAGACCACAACACGGGGAGACGGGGGATTACAGCTGGCAGTGGTTTCCAAAGGATTTCAGCCAGAGTCTCTAGGTCACCCTCATTCGACACAGAAACAGGCGGCCATGGCGGGCTGGAGCCAGAGCCCAGCGTGAACATCAGGGACTCACGGGGGAAGGTTCCCTACGTGAGAAGAGCTAAAAAACGGAAAGACAAATCCGGAGAAGATGGGAGGTGCCCTGGAACGCCAGGCCAAGGATTTCCCCAGGAATGACCTCTCCCAATCCAATACGGGTTTCATTTCCACGAAGCGTGGCAGGGAGGAAGGAACTTGAGCCCTGGAGTCAAGCAGCTCTAGACTCACGCAATTTCCTAACTCCTGGAGCCTCAGTTTCCTTATCTGTAAAATGGGATCATCAAGCCCATCTCGCACAGTGATGTGACGATTACAGACGGCAGCGCTCCTTGCCTGGCACAGAGGAAAGCTCAAGACGTCCCAGCAGCCCGCACTCTGCTCCCCCAGTGCTCACCCTACCCCTGTTCACAAAACACGCAATTTCCACACCAGGGATGGGGCACCGTGGCCCACCAGTCTCCCTTGTTTGTGCTCGCCGCTCCTGGGCACCTCACGGAGCCAAAGAACAGGCCAAGGCATCCTTTAGGAGGCAGAGCCCCTCGAAAAGGTGATTTCCCAGCAAAAACGGCTATGTCTCCAAAGCCACCTGAATAGTTGTTAGTTTTATTAATAAGAAGACTTCAACTCTGCTTCAAGACGCCAGCATGGGGAGTGTGAATGGCTCCATTACTTCCTTCCTCCCTTCCCTCTGCAACATTTGTTGAGCACCTCTGTGTGCCAGGCCCTCTGCTACATTCTGGGATGCAACGAGGAGAAAGACGGACCCGGCCCCTGCCCCCGGAGAGCTGGAAGATGGGCGAGAAACCGGCAGACAAGCAAGTACAAATCCAATCCTCAGTCACAGGAAGTGCTCAGGAGGGACCCCAGGGCTGCCGTGATGGCGCGACAGGGAAAGTCGGGGGCGTCGGGTGTTCCTGAAGGGGAGGCCCACCTGAGGCAGCAACCTTCGAGAGGAGACTGAAGGATGAGGAGCCGGCCGGGAGGAGAGGTGAGGAAAGGCTGTTGCAGCGGGAAGGGAAGTGAGGATCAAGTGCGGCGTGTCTGAGGAGCTGGAGGGAGGTGGGGGGCACGGGAGGCAGGCAGCAGCCACACTGGGAGGGGCCTGCGGGCCCCAGTGAGGAGCTGGATTTCGTTCTCTTAAAGAGTTTTAAGGGGTAGTGGAAGGTGCGGGACATCATGTAATGTATGTTTTAAAAAATATCAATATAAATCCCTTGGGCTCCTGTGTGGAAAATGGTTTGAAGAGGAGCAGGGACACCAGTAAAGAGGCCTTTCCACCACTGAAAGGGACCACGGAACTCAGCCAGTCCAATGGCCCACCTTCCAGATGGGTAAACTGAGACCCAGAAAATACAGACCAAAGGTCCAGGCAGTGGGGGATGCGTAAGCAAAGTCTGCATGATGATCCATCAAGAATAATGCTGATGTGGGTCAAAAAACAAGAGAAAAAGAAAGGAAGAGCCTCAAAGATTTTATTTTTTCTTAAAACCAACAAAAAGCATTTTTCCATAAATGGAAAAAAAATTCTGCTTACACAATTCATTCTTGATCTCTTGTTTACAGTTTTTAAAGTTCTGTACGTACAGTACAAGGACTCTGCAGCAGGACTAATTGGTTTATTGGAAGAAGCAACCTCTGAACACAATTTATTGCCTGCATTTTTAGGCACAGAGCTCACTTTTTAATGAGAATTGTCCCAAGGCGGGACCTCGGCCTGGCCCAGGGTTTGGGGGCAGGTGAGCGAGCACATGCACCGGGTTCTAACGCCAGCCCCACTGCGGGCTGAGACTCACAAGGCACTGACCTCTCTGGCCACAGTGTCCTGCTCTCTAAAACGGGGACAGTAATCTCTCTTGAGGATTCATCACAAGAACTAACATACACGGGCCTTGCCCAACGCCTGGCACACGAGGTGCACAAAGTTCGTTTTTCCTTCCTAGCAGTTGTCCCATATCCCTGCTTAGCTGGTCCCCCTTTCTCCCTTTGATAATATCACCTGATTTCCCTGGAGGATCACTCCTCTCCCTCCCCTGCCTGTCTCTGGTCACAACATGGTTCAGGGATGGGCACGTGACCCAAGCAGGGCCAATGAGACTCAATTCTGGGACATCAGGGACAGACCCTTTCCCCCAGGGCAATGGCTAGCTGGGAGTACTCCCCACCAAGAGTTACTATGTCACACAGAAGCCAGCAAAGCTAAGAGGGAGAGAGGGGCTGAGTCCTGTGACATCATTTGAAGCCTCGGATCCAATATCTCGGACATTTCACGGACACAAGCCAAAGCCTTCTCTTTCTCGTTTAAGCCAGTTTGAGTTACTTTCCGTTACTTGCAACCAAAACAATCCTAACACACCAGACCTTGGCTTTTAGATTGTATCCCAAACCCAGGTAATACTCAGTGGCCTGGCGTGAAGGAATTAAAAGCAGACTTCTTCATGGCAGCATTACTCACAGCGGCCAAAAGGTGGAAGCAATCCAAGTGACCATCGTGGATGAAATAAACAAAACGTGGCATACCCATACAATGGATTATTATCCAGTCTTAAAAAGGAAGAAAATTCTGACATATGTTACAACAGGGATGGACCTTGCGGACATTATGTTAAGTGAAATAAGCCAGCCACAAAAGGACAAATACTGTATGATTTCACTTATACGAGGTTCCTAGAGGACTCAAGTTCATAGAGACAGAAAGGAGAACGGTGGTTCCCAAGGGTTGTGGGAGGGGATGTGGGAGGTAAGGAGTTTCAGTTTGGGAAGATGAAAAAACTTCTGGAGGTGGATGGTGGTGATGGCTGCACAACAACAATGTGAATGTACTTAATGCCACTGAACTGCACACTTAAAAATGGCTGAAACGGTAAAATTTATAATTAGGTATATTTTAACACAACCTAAAAAAATAATTTAAAGAAAACACCAGATTTTCTGCAGATATTTACATAGCCCACATCAAGTTCCCTGGAAATACCACTAGAACTTTCTCCATGGTATAGCCCTCAAAACATGCACTGCGTATCCAAGAAAAAACTTAAATCCAGAATATAGTAATAAAAAACTCTCAAAACTCAAAAGTAAGGAAACAACGAGCCCGATTACAAGATGGCAAAAAGATCCGAACAGACGTTTCCTCAAAGAGGGTAGAGGGACGGCAAATAAGCACATGAGAAGATGTCCATTAGCCATCGGAGAAAGGCAACTGAAACCATGAGGAGACATCACCACGCATCTGTTAGAATGGCTAAAATTAAAAGTACTGACAACAACAA